GGAATATATAATAACAAATTCAACATGCCAGCATTGTTTAAGTATATGTATAGCCTATACATCCTTAAACGAATATAAGCGTTTCGAAAGAGGCATGTTTCGGGAGGACACGAGAGAAATTTCTTTGCCTGTCTCGCTTGAAAAAAAAAAAAAAATGATGCACTGTGATGCGTATTAGCCGATACGATAGTGAGACATCGACGAGTCAGAGCTTGATCCCACCATGAAAGTTTGAGCATTAATTAATTTACTTCGAACGACGATTCACGCCTTTATTTCCGAAATGTTGTTGCCGCACACGGTTTACATTGTCCGGGGCATAAAAGGCCATGATAGAGGATCTGATCAGGCTGAGTGTGCATGTACGAGTAGATCGCGAGACCGCACCGTTTCCTGATCACTAATGCCTACCGAACGTATTATTTTCAGTTTTTTGTAAGACTCGATCATATCCGCAAGTGCTTTACTCAGAAGGATGGGATCTTTGTATTGGAAGAATTCAGTAAGTAATCTCATTATCAGACTTCGAGATAAAACGTTTATAATATAGCGATTTAAAAAATTAAATCTAGCTTCCTGCTATATTTTTTATATAATTAATTTTCGGATACATAAGATCTGTAGTTCAGTTTTTAATAACGATTTCCTTCTGTCTTTTAGATCCTAAAACTAGACAAGTAATTCAACGTAAATATAAGTCTCAAATGGTAAGTGATTCGAAATACCTGTCCTATTAAAGAATCTTTTGAACCTTCTTAATTTGTCGATGTGTAGCTTGTACATACACTATATTTGTATTCCTATTCTGTATAACTTATTTTATGTTATCGATTTGTATCAAATATTTGATGACTTTATTTGATTTGCTATCTAACAGGCCAATGAACTGTGCCACTGCATGCACAGGGTATTCTCCGTTGCCTTTACGTTATCTGAACTCTCTGAGGTTCACGCCGACCCTGAAAACGACAGTGCATGAAGGTTTAGTTATGATTTTTTGTTTTATCCCTCTGAGCGCAAATTTTGATTCATTTCCGCTTTGAAATCACCCCATCAAATAAAGCTTTCTACCATATATTTTGTTTAATATGTATTTAAAAGCTAAACTATTTTGTTCACCGTCCTGAATCTAAATTAGTAAATTAACTTCCACAAGGGAGCTAAATGTGAAATGTATAAAATTTACAGGCAGATCAAATTTGCTACTCGGTACTCTGTGTGTTCTCTTACTTGGCTGCTGGGTTGGAGCAACGGAAGCCAGCCAGCCAAACAAGCCAGCACCCCCAGCCCCAACCCCAGCAACAATCACAGCAACCACCGACACAATCACAACAGCAATTGCAACAGAGACAACAGCACCAGCAACCACATTATCGCCAACCTCAACAGCAGCCTCAACCTCAGCAACAGCAACAGCAGCAGCAGCAGCAGCAGCAGCAGCAGCATCAGCCGCCGCCGCAACAACAAGCTCAACAACATTCAGGTAGCAACCTGGGCCAAACTGGTCAGGGCCGTAAAAGCACGCAATTCGAATCTATCCCTAAGCATCACTGACACAGAGGCAGACACTCGCTCCCATTTGTGCATAATTACAATAAATGTGCCCCCTACGCTTGTCTACCCTGGGTGTAAACAGCTCCGTTTCATCGTTAACCCATCTGCATTGCTAGCACCACAGAATTGGCTCTACGATTATCATCGGATGCATTTATAAGAAAACTGAATGCACGAGAATTATAATTTTTTAGAGTATTAGAAGTTCAATGCATGTTTCGGTGATACGAGATTTAACATTTAAAATGATATAAATCGATCGGTTTTATAATTCCCATTTGATGAATGTACGAGGACATAGTGCATATACTTTAGAATATGAGAAGTCCAATGGATATTTCAATATGTAAATGATACAGGAAATAATGATTTGGAATACATTTTTTAAATTGATACGAGTTTTAAAAAGTGAGAAGGAGCCTTTGAATTCCGGGAATTCGATGCAAATGGGTTAAAGCCTGTACGTCGAAACGAGTGAATCTAATCTAAAAATTGAGATCCTTAACAATCTGGTCTATCGAAGTCGTTGCACGCCACACACACAAGGCAGTATCATCCTCCACCATTTTCAAAGAGTCTAGAAATCTGTTCTAAATGTTGGAACGCTTCTTTCGTGTTCTATCCGAGAAAGGATTTCAATGGAATCGAACGTGACCAACGATTCGTCGGAAACTGGAGGTATCAAAATTTTTATGGGAACATCAATTGGCTAATTACGTGACTCGACACAGTCGTGGTAATTATTTGCAAAGCGGGAGCCGTTGGGTGTTAAAAAAAATAATGAAATTATCAATATGACACATATTTCAGATAAAGGAACTGAGACATTACCGTAAGACGATGTAATGACGATAATAATAACAGTAATAACAGTGTAATAAAGCAGTGTAGCAGTGGCTATTGTACATTCGCGAATGCGGTTTCGAGTGGTATTCGAATTAAAAATGATAACGACGCGCTTTCCGATCCTTCGGATCGTAAAAGGAGAAAAAGATATAAAGAAAGTCTCTCTAGCAGTTCTCTCATTCTTTTATATGTCCGTAAGCACGTGTAGAGACACGAAATTCGAATAATAAAGCTTGTATAGGTGTTGGGAGAAATATAGCGATGTTACAATATTTTGCGAGCAAAGAAAAAAAATATATGTAATCCAATCAAAAAACATCTCTTGACCAGCAATAATTCGGTTCTCTTGTTACACGTAAGGAATTTTTTAACATTGCAACAACTTGGGAAGAGTACGTAATGTTAAATAACTTGGTATTTTTCAAGAAGGGAGACAGATTTTTAGAAACGTAAGTAACAAAAATTGATGAAATATCCAGATTGTGAAGAATCTATTAGGGGTTCGTTATACTTCTTCCAGCAGCAGTTAAAAAAAAAATGTATTAATCGTTCGAGAGAAAATCTACCTTAAACTATCCTTCGATTGCTTGGGGAAATGGTATACATATATAGTTAATATCAAAGCCTGTTCGACGGTGTTTTCTATGAGTAGCACGTAAAGCAATTCTGAGATACAATAATCGAGATGAAAATGTATTTAATCGTGTAATTGGAGGAACAATTTTGTATAAAATACATCGAAGCAGAGACTGTAACTGTGATCATCTAATTTGATGGAGAACGAGTACGAAGACGTATTTAATTTCGTATGGACGCATGAAATAGCCCGAAGTATTATAATCTCGGATAGTATCGATACACTCTCCTTCATGAATTTCACACCATTACTACAAAACTTACGTTCGACTCGACATTAAAAAGTTTCGATCACTAACGTATTCCTTTCTCTAGTCGAATGATCAGCCTGGATGATTGAAAGAAAAAGAAAACATAGCAGAATTTCTGTGGCTGATTAATTTACCTCACGATAACTAACAGAGATAAGAGATGAGTCAGTCGTGTGAGACAAGTTACAACTACATATATATTTTAGTATGGACACTGATGTAATGTATATTTGTAATAATCGTGCGAGCGTCAATCTCTTTCCTTTTTCATTTCTGATTAGAGACGTTCCAGCAAAGAAAGGCCAATTGTTAGTATACGAGATAAAGAATCGCATCCCAATCACGTCGAATAGTTTCATCACTCATTAATTTATGATTTCGTTCACCGCAAGCGACACTGAACAGTCCGAGACACGTTTATTTATTAATTCTATTTATGTAACAGTCTGTTCCATTGTCTAAAGAACCTAATAACTTAAGATGATCAGGATAATCGACAATTATAAATAGGCACAGATGTTATCTTAAAATACACATCTTAATATATCTCACGTTCAGTATCGTCATTTTTCAGCGGACTCACGATAAGTATTCTAATTAAATTTGTAACATCATATTTTTAGCGTCTGTGATTACATTTTGTAACTTAGACTTTTAATTGTATTGTTAAGTTTAATTACGTTTTCCCGTATTGTGCGTGCAACGGAAGATGCTTTAAAAAAAAATGCAAATTACATGTACTCACATCCCGTAGATAGTGTTGCCACCGACAAGGCCGAAGTTCAACGTGTCCCCCAACGTTCCCCCTGCAACAAATAATAAACAAAATAAAGTTTCGCATATCTCGTACGTAACAGGGAATCCACGAGCATTATTTTATCAAATCTCAATCTACCTCTTCAATCTATTATCTAACTCCTTACGATTCTTCTTTATTTTTGTAATAAGAATTTTAGGTATTCTAATTTATTCGACGCTCGAATGGAAGAGAATCTTCGCTTTAAGAGGACTTCCGCTTGTCTCTACGCTTAGCGCCCATCGCATAGCAGTTCCTGTTTAGTGCCACGCTTAAACAATATATTTTAGCAAACTCATTGTCACGCTCCACGACGATAAAAATAAGCGAACGAGAGAATAAACGATGATTATAAAAGGAAATCTAGAAACCGTTCTATTAGAACTCCCAACAGGGATTCAATACAAGTTTCAAATGTACTCAGCAATGTATCCAATAAATAACTTGTAGATTTGAACTGAACTGTGTTGTGATTACATGCGAACCTATTCGTAATAAAACGTAATATCAAAAGCCGAATGAATATAATTATTTTTAAAGAAACTCCTGATTCTATTTCCCAAAATGATATAAGGAAATTGTTTTCTGCATTGTAATTAAAATATTCGACGTGCATTTATCCTATTGTCCACCACGAAATCAGATTAATAAATAGTCGAGGGCTTCTCAATTAACGTCCTACGACCGTACACTTAATTGCGTAACAGTATGCACCTCGACTTCAGTCTCGCAAGCAAGTGTACCAGGCTCGCTTGATTCGACGAAGCCTACGGCTACATAGACTACGTGATAATCGTAAGTCTTTATTTTCTATAATAATTCAATTCATAGTCCTCGAGGATCTTTTTCATTCTTTACAAAATTTAAATTTCTTCCTCGTTTATGTGAAAACTCTCTGGCTCGTAGAATAAATAAAATAATTTATATTACCAATATTATTAGTATCATTGATATTGATCAATAATTATTGAACGCATGATAAAACCGTCTGAAAATCGAGATAGATCGCAAAAACAGGATGTCGCGCAAATAACATTAATTGCCGAGGACGTATCGAGCCGAAGGCTAGGTATGGGTTTACCGCGAGGCTATCAGGTTTCCCGACGGACCAGTCGTACCGATTTTTCACCGCCGCTACTTTTTACCTATCAGTTTCTAGACTTATAAGCGATCTTATTACTCGGAGCCAGGTCGGACAGTCGCGAATCGCACGCGAATTAGAGAGGATGGACAGATGGATAGGAAAAGTGGCCGTAGTCACAGGTGCCAGTGCCGGAATCGGGGCTGCGATCACCAAACAACTGGTCAGTCATGGTAAGTTTCAGAAAATACTTTTAAAAGAAGAATCGAATTTACAGAAATTACAAATATAATAAGAGCATCTGGAATAAGATAAATGTCCCAATTTCTGTTCATATCCCAATCTCGACTCCCTGGCTTATTTCAAGATTACATTTTTACATATAAAATCATAGTACTAGTAGCTGCAGAAACATCTGCAGTCTAATAAATGAATTTTTGCAAGGCATGGTGGTGGCTGGACTCGCCAGAAGGGTGGAGAAGATAAAGGAGCTGGAGCAAAGTTTGGAAGAATGCTCGGGGAAACTGTATGCGATCGAGTGCGACGTTTCGAACGAGGAGAGCGTGACCGCAGCTTTTGCGTGGGTTCAAGAGAACCTGGGCTCTGTAAACGTGTTGGTGAACAACGCAGGGATCAGCAAGGAGTCTTCTCTTATAGGTAATCGAGAATATTTAATTCCACAGCGATTGCTTATGAAAATTGCAGCCGTGAATCCTCCTCCTCGATTTTTGGAAGTGCTCAGATGTCGAGAGATTCTAATTGTAAAAAATGCACCTCTCCAGAAGCTCGGTCCCGATCGGTGGCCATACAAACATAATCAGAACATGCCGAGTTTTTCTCTTTTATTTTTTAAGATGGCAATCCGGAGGACTGGCGAGCTGTGTTCGACGTGAACGTCCTGGGGCTGTGCCTATGCACCAAGGAAGCGGTTCGTCTGATGCGAGAAGCTGGGGGAGAAGGTGTTGTAATAAACGTGAACAGTTTCGCGGGAGAACGAGTACCTTTCATTCCTGGATTCTCCGTTTATCCAGCGTCAAAGAGAGCCATCACCGCTTTGGCACAGACTCTGCGCCACGAACTCACCGGCACTCAGATCAGGGTCACGGTATTTATCAGATTTTTATGCAAAAGTACAGTTATAGAGAATTAAAAATTTAACGTTTCAACTTGTTTCCTACAGGGAATTAGCCCAGGTCTGGTGGCCACGGAGCTTATGGTCTCCTATAGTACATATTCTGAGGAAGCATTAGCATCGTTCCCTACGTTGGATCCGGAAGACGTCGCGACGGCTGCAATATTTATATTATCTTGCGCTCCTCACGTCGTGGTTAGTATAACTGCGTAGTCATTTAACTATTCATTAAAATTAATTTTCTACTAATTTTCTACAGGTTCAAGATATTGTCCTGCGGCCTCTGGGCGAGTCTTGGTAATGAAATGGCAGGGTTCATCAACTAGTTACATCTACTAACGCTACTTTGTTATTTATCGCACAAACTATTATCATACAAATAAAAATATATGTATCGCTAATCAAAACTTGGAAACTTATTATCCCACAATAAAAACAATTGACTTTATATAATAACCTCTCGGTCTTTTATTTAATTTAAATATCCCCGTTCCTCCGCAATGGAGATTATCGAGTTAGCAGAAAAAAAGAAAGCCTTTGCACCGCCCGAAGAACGTTATAGGAATCCTCACAAGGAAGCCATAAGAGTAAGACAAATCCGTATTATAATTCCAAAGCTCGATTCGTACAGAAAGAGATTTAAGAAATTATTGAGAAATATATCGATACAGTTAAAAGTGCTATGGTCTGCTCATAAGCCACTGAGCAAAAGAAAGGAACTGTTAGAGGCGAGGCACTTGTACAGGGATGCGAGTAATCTCTTGAAAACCGATGCAAAATTGGAGATTATCACTCGTTTAGTCAGCAAAGCGTTACTTTTCGACTGTCACTATCATCCACTTTACGCATTGAAGGGAGACATTTACATGCGCAAAGGTTCGAGGTCAAGAGAATGATTATTATCCATTTTAGAATCGAATTTTCCCCTATGTTACTTTCAACCGCTACGAATATCTATTTTTCGTTGATAGATGCTATTTCCCTTAAAAGATGTACAATGGACATTACAGAGAATTGTTCCATTTAAGGGAATTGGAAAAACGCCATTACGAGTTACGAGAGCGCAAAATTGATGGCCATGCAGGATGAGAACCTGAGTAGAAACGATCAGAAAATGATGTACAACGAGCGACTGATCGACGCTCACAAGGAAAGGGGAGATTGGTATTGGAAGAATGATCATTTACTAGAGGCTTCGAACGATTACGAGCACGTACTGCTCTTCAGATTACCAGGGATGAATATACCTTCAGTACAAGTACATTTCTAATCATTAATAGCCTTTGTTAATTATTGTCAGAATTGCATCACGTATTAAATGTTGACAGGATAAATTATTAACAATTCTCCGGAAGTTGGATAAGTACGACGTGTTCCATAAATACTGGTACCAATTCATAAACGATCACCTCGAACCTTCGAGGATCTCTGCTCTGTTGACTATGCACGCGGATTATAAAATTTATTTAAAAGAAATGGGACTCGCTAGACACATGCTTATGAAAGCTCTCAATCTCGATAGGCAAAACGTGCTTGCACAGGAATTGTTACAAGTAACGCTCTAGAAATATCAGATGGAAGTAATGGATTTCGCGTGCGAGATCTAGTTCTGCTCGGAAAAATGAACAGCGCGAACGGGAAACCACAAATCATGCTAATTCCTTCGAAACCGCAGCCATATAACCGCAGACTGCACCGCTGCAATCGTAATCCGATGAATTATATTTATACTTAGGAACGAATTAAGATTTTTATCACTTGGGAATACCAAAAGCGAGGCAGAAAACATGAAATGACTATGCTCGTGAATCCATTACTTTACATTTATTCTCTCTGAATCTAAATAAGTATAATTATTGTATGCACGATATCACACAGAAGGTGTACAGTGTTGGCCACTCGTTAGCAGCATACAGTGTCATTTGGTGCATGCATACTTGCTACGACAAAGCTTTGGTTACCGTCGAGAACGCACTGGATTGTATCCCATTCAATCCAGGATTCATCTTGCTCAAAACGATCATTTTACGACTATGCGGTCGTTTCGACGAAGCCACTATTTGGCTAGAAAATCTAAGTGACAATTTCTACAAACTATTAGACCCGAAAGGAGATACACAGAGATCTATCCTAGGGAAGCTTTCCGTACACGAGACGAGAAGTCATTTGATCAAACAATGGTATCTTATACGGTACGAGTTACAATAGAACATTATTCTTCGACTCACCTTCGAAATGATGCGACGTCTGCTAACTACTTGCCTGGTCACCTGGACACTTGTTTCTCCTGCACACTTACATTTTACTTCACAATTTCACTGCGTACACTGTTGACGAGGAGGCTCGCGTTTTTCTACCGGAAACGATTAGAGAACCCGCGTTTTTCTACCGGAAACGATCAGAAAACTCGCGTTTCTCCACCGAAATCTCGAAATTTCCGACGAAATCGCTTTCGCGTTATCGATATATCAAAAACGTATTACCGGCAAAACGAAAATGTAAATGATTGACAACAACAATGTAAACTAACAATCTTTAGTTCGTTCAAAGCTTGAATCTACGTAATATGCTCTCGAAAATATATGCTGCTCGCTTTTTGTACAAAACTTTGCATGACTTCTAGGTACGACATGGCAATGCAATGTTTGCTGGAGGACAAACTTGAAACGGCAATTCGAATCGTGTACAGAAGTAACCTAATTAAGCACTATGCGGAATCGTATATGTTACTGGGCGATTGTTTCTACAAACGAGACGAAATTGATTTGGCATTAGAGTCGTACCTGAAGTGCCGGGAGAAGATACGTGAACTGGAGCTACCGTTTTCTCGCAAGAATATCGATCTAGTAGAACGGATAATCGATATCCTTAACGACCGGGCGGAACAAGCTATAACTAAGGGACAGTCGAAACGTGCGGTTGAGATCGCTGATCAGGCGCTACGTATCCTAGATGAGGACAAAATGCCGGTGCATTTGTTACGCTTGCAACGCGGTCGCACTCTTCTCGCGAAAGCTCGCGGTTTATTCCAAATTGAAAGTAAACAAGAGGTAGAGAAGTTATTGTCCTGCAAGACCGCGGCTGATAGTTTGAGATTCGTTAGAGAGTTAGATTCGGATCTCTACGCCACTTTGTACAGCGACAAAGATATCGAAGGAGTGATCGACCGATTCGCACCGCCGAGACAGCTGCCGAGATCTTTAAAAATTCTGATGCAATTTTCTTAACAATGAGGGTTGTACAGATAATTTCAGTAATCGCAATTATTATTACCACAGCAATAAATCGTGCGACTGATACACCGAACACCGGGATATTGAAAAATACGCTGATGTAATGTTTGCAAAAGGTTGCTCTTCAAAACGATATGTATCATCGGTTTCTTGTTTTTATCGTTTTAGTAAGAATATTTCGTACAAAAAATATTGAAAAAATTTAGCTTTCGAATATTATATACCTGTATGAATAAAAGGAAGAATTAGATAATGAATCTTTTGATATCTTTCTATTTTCGTACTGAAAATGGCCTGATTATTTGTAATAAAGTATCTACTACAAAATCTCTGTTTTTTAAAAGATCTGTCTCCTTTGAAGTATTTTTTTCATATAAATCAATTATTACAATCAGAAGTACCTACTCTTATAAACGATATCGCAATTCGAATGTACGATATACAGAACAACCACGATCAGAGAAATGGACGAGGTGTCTGTGTCTGAAGATTAACGCGACCTCGGTAATCTTGGGCCACAATTTCTCTCTGGTATAAAAGCGGGCAACCGATGCAACGATATTCAGAAACGCTCTGTGGTTTGCGATTGTCATAAGTGCAAGTCTCTAAGAACCTAACGCATCATCATGGAACAGTGGTCCGACAAAGTTGCCCTCATCACATGCGCCAGTTCCGGGGTCGGCAAATGCCTAGCGGAATCTATGGTCAACAAGGGAATGAAAGTCATTTGCATGGCCAACCAAATCGACAAAATGAAGGTACAGCTTTTCCTTCGTCTTTGTAAAGAATTTTTAACTTTCATATCCCTTTCATGTAGTCGCTTGCCGAGGAGTTGAAATCAAAATCTGGAAAACTGCTTCCACTTCAATGCGACCTTGCTAACCAGAACGACATCGCTCGTGTCATGGACTGGATTGAAAAGAATTTAGGAGCCGTAGATATTCTGATTAACAACGCTGCCCTTAGCACTGACAATAATATGATTCAAAATAGTAACATGGAAGACTGGAAGAAAATCATGGACACGAACTTGGTCGGATTGGCTTCGATAACGAAGGAAGTTTTGAAGCTGATGAAGAAGCAAGGTGAGAAGTATATTACCATATGCTACGTTTACTTATTTAAACTTGTTCTTTATTGTTTCATCAGGAATTAATAATGGTATAATCGTGAATATCAATGATGCCCTGGCACAGAAACTACCCAACAGACCCGACCGCCCGTTGTCTCCTGCTAACATCGTCAGCAAAGCTGCTCAATCTGCTCTGACGGAACTGCTCCGAATGGAACTGGCGCAACAAGACTCGAACATCAAAGTCATCGTAAGTTTTCAACCAGATTTTAATTTTATCGTATATTAATGCATGTATTCATTTTTGAACGCAGTCTATTTCTCCCGGCTTGGTGGAGACTGAACAGAACACGCAATGGTTGAAAGAGAATGGGCGTCAAGCTTTGAAACCCAGAGACGTGGCCGACTGTATTCTACTCGCGATACAAACTCCTAACAACGTTCTGATTAAAGAAATGATCATCACACCGTTGCGCGAAATGCTGTGAAAAAGACAGTAGGAGCATTGTTCATCACTTTGTCAAACATACAATACAAGCGACGATTATAAATATATGTAAAATAAATATTTTAGAAAATATTTACCGCCTATTGAAAATACCTGCTCCTTCGTACGTTAAGTTTCATTGGTACAAGTAGTGTTACAAAGAGCGTCCGAAGGAAGAGAAATATTTTATTCATTTGACGCGTGACATAGTATAATATGACAATAAGTTTCTTAATATTAAATAAAATTATTCATGGAAAAAATATCGAAGTAACTATATTTTATTAGAACTGATCTCACAAAAAAGAAAGGTATACTTCATAAATCCAATAGCATCCAGAGTCTTCTCTTGATCATCCGAGCAGAGCTGATAACAGATTAATAGTATTACAGATTTCCTTCTACTCACCCGAATTCCAACTCCCGTTACCTCCGTGACAACGAGTCTTCATCGAGTCGACGTTTTATTACATTTTAATGAAAATCTTATAAATATTCTTAATAAAAAAATTCTAATTACTGTCAAATTATTCAACGGGTTTTATTACGAAAGAAAAAAGAAATGAAAGATTCGCGAAAGATGAATCCACATATGCACACTGTACTTCCTTGTTGAATTCTTGAATACATGAAAAATATACAATCGTTCGATATTAGTTATGTAATCGTAATAAAGATACTAGTTCTTTAAACAATGGATATTAGTCGAGGAGAGGAATTCAGGATTGTATCCAAGAATATATGAGTGATAAAATAATCAAACTTTTTTTATTATTCCTTCCTGCAACGATCTAGTAGTTCAATAAACTTCTTTTCATCGTCAAGGATTGACAAACGCGATACGACGATCTCTAGTCAAAAGGGATGGTCGGGTCACTACTTATTGAGGAAGGATTAATACAACCATTGGGAAAGAGGCTATCACTCTGCCACAGAATTCGTGAGGAGTTTTAAAAAAGTCTGTGTAGGTGTAAATAAACTGGACGTAAGGCTGATAGATAATTAATGTAAAACCACACTAAACTTGTCGAACAGACGCATATAATTCTATCTGTTACTCGTTTAAAGTTAGTCTCGCAAAAAGATGGACAGGTGAGAAAAAAAATCAAAAGGTGGATCCTTCTCTGATGATTTTTTCAGAGCAAAGCATGCAAAAAATGTGTATATCGGAGGTACGATCAGAATCATATTAAAACTTGAACAAATACCTTACAGCGAGTGTGTGAATACCGCATCATCCGTTTTCAATTATTTCATCCGTGTTATCCGAAAAATGATATCCGACTATTTTTATTTTACTCCTGTATTGATCCAAATTCCGTATCCGACCTAGACGATATATCCATGAAACCTATTTTGATGCATGAACGAGCGCAGGAGCGACGAGCTCTGCTTTCTTTTATAAAAATCCAAATCCGTCCACACGTGATGAACACGGCGTTCCAAGATCCAATTATTATGATCCGCTTATTTACAGAATCCGTCCAGCCAATTCTTATCCGTTATCCAAACCATCCATCATGAACACTAATTTTTATCCTGTCAGCATCCTAATCCGACATACATCCGCCGAATCCTTCCATTTTATTTTTTTTCATTCTGGGAGATCCTCTACAACTAGGGAGAGTCGGGTCCTCGTTACAAGATGAAGGATTCGTCTTATTTACCCCGAACGTACATCCTCTTGCGCGCGCCAGAGTCCCGGGAGAACGGAGTTCAAATTACGGCACACGTTTCGATGTATGCACACGGATCGAAGATTGAGACGACCGAGAGGAGAGCGACCGGATGATCTTTCGAATGGGGAATCGGAAGCACACTATTTTTATGACGCGATAGTTCTCCGTCGGAAGGCCACTTGTTCAGTTTTCCACGATCCTGAGGAATGCTAAGTATTCGCCTATCCTAATGGCGCGAGCCGAACGAGAAACGACGAAGAGTTTTTTTTCAACAAGCTGACATCCTCCAGGTTCTCGGTATCCTTTCCGTTCCGTTTATACTTTTTTCCGCGATTACTCGGCGCCGACGGATGAGACGTATGATCGTTCCGATGAATGGAGTATCCCTTCTTTTGACAACGAGAATCAACGTTATCATTTTCACGTAACGATAAAATTAATTCTCGAACTTACGAATATCTGACATACGAAACTACGAGTACTTTCATGTATAATTTGTTGACATTCCATTACCAGTTTGTTCTTTAAATCATTGCAAAAAAAATTAAATCGCGAGAATCACTTTCTTTTATCGAATCGCGTAAATCGAACACTGGATTAAAAAATATGTCTACGAATACGTGATGTGTCGAAGTCGTTTCGTACTTTTTAGCCTTCTTGGTCAACGGAAAAGCACTGCTATTTTTTTATGTTCGTTTAACGATTCAAATTCGAGAAAATATTTTAATCCTTGTAATGGACGTGCCAACGCTTTCTGATGAAAATCCAGCTAATTGAGAATCCTTGAATGAAACGGATTGTGTTTTTTCATCCAATTCCTTTCCTGAATTCCTGATCCTGAATTTCCTCTTGAAAGTATCCTTAATGCCTCTTAATCCTTTTTTACAATATATGCTCCATACATAAATCCATCCAAAACGCATTCCATCTCATCCCACCGTCAAGCGAATTGTGTATTATATCCATCCAAGAAGCAAGATCGTGTCGATTTCAGTTTTTCATTCATTGTGTTACAATCCAATCCAATATACAAAAGAAGAAAAAATACATTAGTCCCTTATACAATATATTCATTAATGTTTATATATGTATATAAAATTTATCACTGCAAATGTAATCCTTGTGATTTAATTTTAGTTCAAATATTACGTTTTATAAATTGAGCAAATACTACAGAGAAAAAACATTTTGTATCTGCTTAATTTAAATTTAGAACCATTTCCATTTCTATTGGATGCATGTGCATAAGTAAAGATAAGAGAAATATCACAGGATCAATTTGCAATACGTAAGAATATTCTGAAGGATACTCCTTCTAATCAATTATTCAATTTTTAAACAGAAAAAAATATGAGAAATGTGCAACACAGTGCCATTCTTAATTTCCTCGATCTGTGACAATACATTCCTCAAGATAATTCGTTTGTCACTTAAGCTTTACTTGAATAATTCACAGAAATATTCAACTAATTGCAAACAGGCATGTTATCATATTCTTAATAATAGTTTCAAGAGTAGCATCTTTTTTTCTTGGTTTTCTTTCATTTTGAAGTGATACATAGCACACGATAATATCCTACCAAACTAAATGGTCCGATAATCGTCGTTAAAGGACACTCAAATATGAAAGATGCAGTTTAAGCTGTTGTTATATCGAGCAATCAATATCAGTGCAAGATAAATGACAGTTATTATCAGTACTTGATTCTTTTCAAAGCATATCGTATGGAAAATCGTATGAACGTTAATCTATTAGTAAAGAATAAATCCTTCACCTATGTTTATCAAATATATCCCGCTGATGGGTATCGATGTATTACATTATCTAGGTATCAAGTGTAGTTTTTCAGCACATATAGTTTTTGTATTGTCATCACTATATAGCTCAAACGAGTATACTTAAATTTGTGTGATAACTTAAACGACGATAAACCGTGTAAACAACTTTGATGTATTCATTATTCATGCTCGTACGTGAATACGTTATTCGAAAGAACCACTTGCAATTCGCACAGCAAAAAAATTTGTTAAATTACTATTTTACAGTTCAAATATACAAAACTGTTTAGAGCAATAAATATGTGGTGTAAAAAGACGAATCGATTGTTTCTCTAACTCGAAATTTCTAATCGTTGCTAATAAAAAAATATTAGCCTTACGGCGTGATAAGTACGCCATATTAGAAGTTGAGAAAATATAAAATATGGTTTAAAATGTGCTGTTCTCATCACTGCAAATGTGAATAAATAAACGTGAAAAGTCAAAGACTGGATTGAGTAAAGTATTGCACTATGATAATATCATAGATAATATCAACAATACAATTACTCATTAATGCAAACGTGTAATTAAATTGTTTAAGTAATGTTAGTCACTCCTTTTCTTTAGATCGTTTCTAATACTTCAAAATTGTTATACACTTTAATTATAGTTGTAGTGTCAAAATGAACTGCAAAATATAAAGGAATGTATTTCTAAACATAAAATATAACTCTAATCATTATTATCTTCAACAATAATAGCCAGTTAATATGAGCACGATTCCTTGTGGTCAAGGCAAAAAAATTAAGATAAAATTCAATGCCAATGTTTACTGTTTAAAAATTCAAATGCTATCACGAGTTCGAGAAATAAGGTTTTTAAATAGAAAGATAACTTATATCATCGGTATGTGTAATTTACGTATGTTTAAGATGGAATTGTTGAAGAACAGTATAAAAAACGAACCGTGCTCTAACTGTACATTAGATACAATACAATTATTAAATTCAAGCAACATGTAAATAATTTGATAATTTGTACAAAATTCGTTCAATTTTTGGATTGGAAGGTGTCTATAAGTGAATGTAAAAATCAGTAATAATGAAACATGGTAAAGCAAATATTGATAAGCCTTTTACTTATATTACCATGTGAAACATATACGTACACACTAGTCGTATGAACGAGATCTGGAACGAGATCTTGATCGCGAGTAATTACGTCGTAATGGTGAATAGGTGGGCGATCCACGACGTCGTGGACTATAACTCCGTGAATGACTTCGGCCCTTCTCCCTGTCTTCGCTGCGTCCCCTGTCACCACTGTTATGGTCTTCTTTAACCCGAATATAGGCTACTTCACCCTGTAAGCAACACGGAGTCAATGAATGAACAGTTTGAGAAATTGCCAGAAATAAGTAGTATTAATTTGTGTCGCACCTCATGGGACCTAAATCGAGAATCATCTAATTTCTTCACGGCATACTTCATATCCTCGTATCGTAGGAATTCAACAACTCCTGTACCATCTTTATACACATCAGCAAAGCATACATCACCAGCTTCGCGCATATGATCTTTCAGATCTTGCCAACTTCCAGAAGGAGGTAAGCCAGTGACAAGAACTCTGTGCTGGGATCTTCTAGCAGGTGGGCCACGTCCTCTAGAATTACTCATTTCACCTCTGCCACCTCTTCCACTATCTCCTGCACCACGACCACCACGGAAATTATTGCTAGGCCCACCACCTCTAGGAAACTCAACACGTAGTCTATAACCGTCATAATCATATCCGTCCCTTGCATATACTGCGTCCTCAGCATCTCTGTAAACAGGAATGGTTATAGTTAAAATTCTTGTGTAATTTTTACATAACTCTCAGATTCTAAAATTAGTTATCGTACTGCAAATAGTGAAATACATTAACTTCCAACAACAAAAATATGTAAACTACAGATGGTTTCTACGTTTAAATAAAAAATATATACGAATATGTATCGAAATTTGATTAAAATTAGACAAGGTTCGATTTTTATTCGCCCATTATTGATCGAACGTACCTCGGGTCGTCGAATTCGACGAAAGCGAACGGTGGTCCTCTGCGATTTTTTAAATCAACGAAAACAACTTTACCAAACTTGTAGAAAAGGTCTTGGATGTCTTTCGTTCTTATATCGGGCGGCAAATTGCCCACGTAAATTCTACATTCATTTCTACCGCCGTGGGACATGTTCACAGACTTGATTGAACTGTTTATTCTGCAAGAAGAGGTACAAACAAAAAGCACTCTAAAAAAATGTTTAATCGCCGTTTAAGTCTTAAACTCTCTTTATTGATGAAACAAACAAGATGGTGGCACCGGTCGTGGAGAAGCGTGATCACGAAACATCTAGGTAACTAAGAACGAACACTCATCGAACGATTTCCCCACGCCTCGAAATCTGAACGATTATTTCAAACGCATACAGGATCAAATAATTAATTTAGAATATCTAAGATTGCATCTGTAATTCAGAATTTGCATGCATAGGAGCTGCAGATTCGATTTAAAGAATAATTTTCTCGCAGTGGCGAGAAGTTAGCAACCGTAGAAGTTTTGAGGCGGAGTGTACTCAGAGGCCTGAAATTGAGTAGAATGCAAATTAGTCTGTGCGACGTTTAATCATAAATTTCAGTCGATCAGGAGTTATCTGATGGTAAAGTCGTGTATATTTTGAATAGTACACGAGAAAATTAATAAATCATTTATGACATGATGGCGGTAGAATAATTCAAATTAAAGGTTGAAACCTGGCATTATTTTTACGAAATAATCAATAAAATTATTTTCATTTCCGTACGGTCATCGCGTAATTAGTGTACCCAAATAGTTGCTTAAACAAATGATCAAATTCGGTTAATTAGAGATATACGTTAAGAAGCATGAGATGCATAAAAGGAAACTCAAACGCAACACGTACGTCTTCTCCAACAGTTTCACTCGCCCTTATGCACTGGTCGATACACGAGTGTAATTAAGTTTGCACTTTGATACAGATTAGCGCAGAGTATAAAAACTCCTGAGAACTTGTCGAGATCAAGAGATCACCAAGAGGAACAAAGTGAATCGAGCGATCATTTTCAATTACCAAGCTTACAGAAGAGGAAAACTTGGAAGGATGTCGATGACAATGTCCAAACTTGGGATAAAAATAGTATTGCAATGGACGTGTTTTCTCCCTCGGAGATCGAGAATGCTGCAACCAGAAAAGTTATGCAGCAGTGGGAAGCTGTTGAGAATACACTATACGAGGATGGAGAACAAGTGACACAAACAGCTGTTCTGGATGAATGCGTGCAATGGAGAACACAGATACCCCATTTAAGAATAATTGGGAAAAGTCCATTCAATTCATCCATCAGTAATCAAGAGGTCAATGTTAATCATAATCAGATGAGAAATAGTTTTAGTTCTCATAACGAGGATGCGTTTACAGATTTGAATATTTCATCAAAGGTAAAGAATATTTAACACACCCTACTCAGAGTGATTACCAATAATTTTTTAGCTGTACACTTTTTGGTAGGAGAGAAAAAATTCATCCAAGCAAAAGTTACAAAAATCTCCAAGAGATGAGATAATCAATATGCTTTATGAATATGTAATATCTGAACTGTTTCCAAGTAAAATAAATGATATTGATTCATTGAACAATGATTTTAATAGTGCTTTACAAATAAGGGCTGCACCGATTCATAGTAATAAAAATTCTGCGAAGAGTACAAAGATGAGTTGGTTCGAAGAAACAATTCCTCTGGAAACCAGACTTTCCAATAGTAATAATAAAGCATTGGAAGATCTCAATTTACCAATAAGAAGGGAAACTGCTCAGATACATGCTTCAGACATTCACAAGTATGTATGTAATGCATCGCTCATTTGTAAAGGAAAACAGAATAATTATGCCGTGCATAATTATAGATTGAAGAATGAGAAGGACGAATCTGCATTGGAAGATAAACTTTTCAGGCCGCATACAAGTAGAAATAAACTTGGAACTGTTTTCAATGAGAAGATCGTGGTCAGTCCTGTGCCTTATGTTCTATCGACTAGAGAGAGTTTCACTACCGTACGAACAACACCGATAAAGTTCATGACACAGTCTCCAGAGATTTCTACATTTCAAGGCATGTCACCTTTTGATATCGTCTGTCACATATGAAACGTTCAAACATTTAACGCTTTAACGTCGTTTTCTATTAGGCTCAAGTAGAAACATTAGCTATTTAAGAAATTCGGCAAAGAATTCGGCAAAAACGAATTACCAATCCGCTTGGCATGCCCCTGTCTCTCCTGCTGTGTGGCCGAAAAATATTAAGCTTGCTCCGCTTGATACTTCGCGGCTTCCGAGTAGCAAGAATAGGTGTGTAGAAAACGTTAAGCTTCATACTATTTATTAACTAACATTCTTTATGCCGTTCTTCAATCATTTTAGATCTGTAACGTCGTCGTCAGTAGCGTTGTCTCGTAACAGAAAACCTCTGAGTCCCATTTCTCGGCCTATTCTGCCTGCCTCTGCACAAATTAATCACAGTAGCAATAACGAAGGCCTAGAAATTCGAGGGAGACAAATAACTCCCGGACAATCTCCTAAGTTGAATGCAACTCTAACCGGAAATAGCAAAAGGAAGAGAAGTCAACCGAAGATCAAATCATAACACATTTGTTAGCTAGATAAATCGATCTTCTGAATTCTATAACATTATTTTGTTGTTTTACACGATTAATAAGTGGGAGAATAAATATATTTCCTTTTCCCCATTAAACTGGAAATTCAGTTTGTGATATATTATCGAACAGTTTAGTAAAGAGATGATTTTAAAGTTCAGATAATATTTATAATTCGTACGACGTAAAGGAGAACATTTTATATAATGTACAAATACATTGTTACTGTTAAATAATTAGTAAGATATCACGCAGTGTATATTACAGTATTATAATCATAATTTTAAGAAGCGTATTGCACTGTAAACGAATCCTGTGTTAAAAACACGAGCTGTTGTTCTTATATTATCTAAGAATGTATATTTTAAATACTCCCGTTGTTATATGTATAGATGAATACATAATAATGTTGTAACTGTGTCTACCTCACTTGACGTATCTGTGTCGATGCACGAGCTTAAGTGTGCAGGTGGATATATTTTTGTAATGCACACATCTGTGTCTGACGTATTTGTTGTAAATATATAACAATATATCATGTTTAAATACGTCTACTCTCTCACCTACCTTATTATCGAATTTCATTTCATTTTCACAAGTTAATTCGTTCGTTCTTGTCGTAAACTTCGATTTTCAATTTTGAATCTCTGCGCACTAATAACTGGCGGTTACGTAACTTTCACTCTATTGGCTCGAGCGTCGGCCATTTGCTTTACGTGCGCCGTAGCATCTACGCATTTCAGTATAACGGTCAAACGGAGTTCTTCAAAATCTTGTGCACACGTAATTGTTACCAGTTTGGAGGCTTAATTACGACGTATTTATTACTTCAAGTAAGTATAATTACAGTTCGTAAACTGTTATTTGTCAATTTTTCACTATTAATGCCGATTAACAATGACGCGTTTGCTTAACTACTTGTTGAACATTCCCATACATTGCTTATAGTCTCGCGAATGGAAATTTGGAAAATTACTAAAGAACTATGCAAGAATAAATCATGATGTTCCTTTATTCGTATTTGTTACAGTTTTCATCTTTATCTTACTTCTTTGATGACTGGCTGGTGGCTGCTTCCTGGCATCCCTCTGCTTTTGGTTATCTCCTCAGTGGTAGCTGTTTCCTTGGCATCCCACAACTCTTGGCTGGTGGAAGCAACATCAATTAAGGGTTACATTACAGTGAGTCATGCTTTTATTTTTCTCCGGTCACTCAATAATGCCGGGACGAAAGGTCTGGAACGGTACGGGTGACTGGTTGTATTTCTCCGACCTCGCGATGTGTAATAATGATAGGAAATGACATATCAGTCGTGACATTCAGGTAAAAAAAGGTTCTGCGTTTTTCGTTTCTTGTCTTTCCAAAAAATCAGTTTCCGCGGCGCTTGAATTTGAATGCTTCAGGCGAGACAGAGGAGGACCGTTATTCTCCTTCTCTCTCTGTTAGCCGAAGCTCCGAGCTTACGGCTCGTGCGATACCTCAGTCCCCCCTCAGTCGTTAGGCCATTCAGTGATAATGTGAAATAAAATTCTCAAGTGAACCTGAATTTCACTGTCCCTCAACGGATGACCATGCTATGAAAATTCCTCGAATCTTACAATACTGATTTGAGGTCTAACGGTATCTTTAATATACAAGAATATACTAGTAGCTTGTCGTGCGCATGGGTCAAAAATCCCACGATGTGCCCATCACATCACTATCAGCGGTAGCGGCTTCAGTTGCGCGTGGCCATCGCGGGTGCTTACATGCGTTGTGATACGTTTCGTCTGTCAGTTACTATAAACAAACCGTGTGAATCGTATTGCGATCGCGTTTCACCGCGTGTATCGCTAACAAGCCGGTTCGCGAATTTCTCGATTGCATGGTGACACACATGAAGGATTTTAACGCGGTTTCGAATCCTGCCGGCATGTCCACGTACGTTCGAAACACTGGCAGTCATTTGTCTACTTTGACAAGATTCTTGGGCGTGTGTACTGCGATTGGTAAGTACAATTAATAATTGTTATAAATCTTTAGTACGATTCTTTCACAACGTAATAGAATATTTTTTCGGTGCAATGAATTTCTCCTACGTTACATTGTTGTAAAAGTTTTATTTTGCAGTCGAAATGGTTCTGAAATAGAGCACAATAGATTCTGGAGGTATGTATAAATCGTGATAAGTGAAAGAAGGTAGTCAGCAATGCATGTGGTTAATCGAAATCGTGAAGTACGCTGACTTAGCGCGAACGAGCTCGAAGCAATTCTCGACTATTAATATTTAGTGCGCCTAAAGAGGCTCGCATGATAGAAAGCCGGGTCTCGACGAAGCTGCAAAAAATGGAAAGGGGTAAAGAATATTAGCTTAGTGATGACGCGAAATTTTGTTTCTTCACGCTGTTTATCCCCGTGTTTGCTAAACTTTAACCCATTTGCACCGTGCACTGCCGGGCAATAGTTATAATAAAATATTTCATTTAACATTTCATACACTGTTTCATACAATAGTTGTTTATACAACGTTTCATTTAATGATTGATATAACGTTTGATACAATAATAATTCACAATTATTCATCTCGGATTCTTTGATGAAAATGATCAGAAAATTATTTATACGCTAATGGTTAAGGTCAATCTCGATTAGCATGAGTTTTGAACATTTTCATCGTATATCGTTCGATTCGAAACGGATAGAGAAATCGCAGGGATTAGCCTCGCGTTTTTGTGGAAAATATTTTTGCCGCCGTTGTCTCGATGATACGGTCGATCGGTAAATAGCTCTGTTGCAAAATTCTCCTCTTTTTATTTCTCCAAATCGGTGGTGTACCGCATGATATCGCTCGTGATCGGAATTGCTATATATCCAAGGCTTGCAAAAATTATATCAGTGTCCATAAAATTCTGATATCAGCACTTAAAGATGTGGTTTTTTTATCATTGTTGCCCCATTATTCTTATGAATTATTATAGTCGTTTTCACATAGGATTTAAATTGTTTTTCTACATGGAATATAAAGCGGATGTTACAATTTCTGTTCACGTCACAATTTTCGTTCATTGGCGTATTTTTCTGTAATTTTACGACATTTTCAAGCATATAAAATTCTGGACAAATACGCCAGTGAACAGAAATTTGGATATTTAGCTTACAATTGTTTACGAATTGAATTGTAGAAATATGACACGGACAGCTTTGACACCAAGCCACAGATATATTGTTATCGGTTCCCGAATTATTGGGAATATAAAAAGAACTACAAATAAAACGAATGAATTGAAAGAACAAAAGGTAGTATCGCGTTTTCCCGTACGCGTCTCGAACGAATCTAGTTTGAGCATTGTTTGCTCGTCGAGTTTCATCGGTGGAATTTCGTTTTTCCAACCGTGTCCGCGCCGAGCCACCTGAACGTGCAATCTTGTTGACTTTTCCTTTTTTTTTTCCGTTCTTTTTCTTTGTCATTATTCGCGATCCGTTTGCGTAGGCCTCATTAAAAACGAATGGCCAGATGGATCTATTGTTAATTGGATGGAAACGTATCGATTCCGCGATAGGTATGCTCAAAACTTTTCAACAAGAGGTAATCAATTGTTACAGAAAACTTCGCATCAAGCAAGGTAGAAACCTTTTGCAAAGTATCCTGTGAACAATATTGAGAGGAATGCGATATCAAAGAATTTTATTAAAATTGTCCATACGTTTCAACTATACTTTACTGTTTCACTACGTTTCTGTCCGAGGAATTATTGATCATACTACTTATAGAGATTAAACTGTTAAAAGCAGCAACTAGCTAGATTAATATTACACAAAAAAAAGCATCAGCACTTCTAATTATCGCTGGAAACTGATTGTTAATTCATCTTCTGGCTTGAAGAAATTGCTTTTGCGAACAGATTGAGATAAATGCGCTGCAGGCGTGTTCACGAGCTTACTTTAAGCGAGTACACGGTTTTTCGGGACGGCATTGTCAAAGGGAATGCCAGCGGACTAAGCGAAATCTCGGGAGGAAACCTGCATTGTGCATAGTTCCTCTTTAATTCATAGTCGCAAGACGGTGAATAGTTGAAGACACAGGCTCACAATTTGAGCGTATTATTTTTTTCTGACGATCTATCAGCCGTTGAACGCTGAATCAGCTAATTGTATTAATTACAACCGTGGCAATCCCGATTTTGGCTGCCTCGATTGATGACGGCTAATGGCGAGTAAATGGAATAGCAACTACGTGCAATTAAGTTCATCAGTCGTGTGTGAACTGATTATAGTTCATGTTCCTACGTTTGCAATGCTTTGAACTCAGTTGAACGGCAGAAAAATTGTATTAAAATACTGTTTCGTTCCATTAGATTATACCATTGAATCCGTCAGTGTATATTATAGTATTGCGTCATTTTATTGCAATTTATATTACGTAGACGACGTTGAAACAAACTGTTACTGCGCATCTCGCGTACAACGTGTTAAGTATTTACTTCTGCAGGGTTAGGAGTCTCCTCTTATCTGGTGACTCTGTTTTTTACATTATGACGCACACGTACTGCATTACAGTTTCAAGATTCCAGTCGCGTACCGTAGAAACCACTGAGACACAAACAGCCACCTTGAGCTCCTTCGCACCATCCCAGACGGTGGCCATTCATACTTAAAACATAAGGATTTTGTTCACTTTTCACGGAGAAATGTCCAATTATATAACAGTGCCATTCTTCGTTTCTTTTACTGACTAAAAATTACTCCTTGACGTGAGTAAACAGTTTTTTGGTAATAAAATTCTATTTGAATTTTTGTTTACTGGGAATATTCTGGTATCTGGGGTAGTTCGATTTTCTTCAATTTCTCATGGAACTTGATAGTACAGTTTAATTAACCACTGAATTAGCGTCGGTTGCATGAGATAATTCTAGAAGGATATCCATTATAAGAGGAGAGAGAGATAGTGAGTAAAACCCGTCCGTTTAAGCTTGATTACAGTTCGGGCATGTTACAGTCTCGTTTAACGTTCCATAAATTATGCATTCGCTCGAACACAGAAGCCGCGCGTTGTATCTTCGTTCGCGTACTCGTTGCGCTTGAAATGCGCTTCCTTTTTTTATCACAATGAATGCTAATTCCTCTTGCGTTCCGACAAATATTTTAAGCACGAGCTTGAAATTTCATTTTTACATACTTCGCTGTTGAATGTGCTTGTAGTGCGTGAAAATAATTTGACAAATGCGAAAGGTAGATTGAATTGCTGATAAAATGTTGAATCGTTGTTTTATGTTTCTGCGTCGTTGAAAGACAGAGCTTGAAAGAACGGGTAATCACCGGGTAATATTTTTGAATGCGTTTGGTCGTTTAATTTTCGTCGGCTTGCGTTGAATGTAATTTTAATTCAGTCGCAGTTCTAATTAGCAATTCTATGGAAATCAGTTATTCTGCAATAATCTGATATGAAGTATTAGATAGACGGACACCTAGTATCGACCGTCGTTATTCGGAGTCGATGTCACGGTGTGTCAATGCCAAGTCAAAACTGCAAGCCCGTAACAAAATATCCAATTTATCCTCGTTACCAAGTTACAGCAATTGAAAAGTTTATCCCCCCGGGTGAGAGTAGATTGGTCGACGCTGACACTATCCATTTTCTCTCATTTCTACTTCCGCCCCGGTTGTCCTTCGCGTTCTCAGTTTAAAACTATCGTCCCACCTCCGCCGTTACGTTTCCATCCGATTTAATAGTAATTTCCCAGAGCATAAGTCTTCCTCTTGGTCTTTTTCGAAATTAACCCAAACGAGTCTCGAACAGGAAGAAAAAATTCAAATTGGATAGATTTTTATTGTACTCTCATTTTACTACTGAAACGCAGTACAATTTCTCTTCGGTCTCGCTACGAAAATATGACGCAATTCAAATCGTACAAATAAAATCCAGTCAATGAGCAATTTTTAAATTTATACGATTTTTATTTAGCTCCATTTTCGCTTTACTGCTAAAACGCAGAACAGTTCCTTCTTGGTTTTGCTATAAATATATGAAGCAACTCGGTGGTGTAAATCAAAACGTTACCACATACAAGGATTGGAAAGGAAAGTTCCTTTTGGTTTGGAAAGTTCCAGCGTTTCGTTCGGAAGGAACGCCTCGCCTCATTTCCGTCGAGATAAACTGGTACGATTGTCCGACTGCATATGCGTAGTAACTACTGAAACCAGGTCAAATCATATATTTTACTACTGCCGAAGAGTTTCGTGTACCCGCACGATATTGCGCTCTGAAAACTGCTTATTAAAAATCTTATTTTTCTTCTCAACAAGCAACTAGCTAAACCCTATTGTACGCCATTGTTTTTTTTATCCGAGTCTACGAATTTTATAAATTATGAACACTGCATGTACTAGAAGTAAAAAAATCTCTGTAATGCATTTTCTTAACAAACGTTTTACTTTCAACAGAATCCCTCAGTTTGACGATGAGATTGAATTAAAAACGATGGAAAGCAGGCATTAAGGAAGTGATTGCTTGTATGAAAAGAGTAAAGCACGTCGTTCGCGGTGTTCGTTCAAGTTTATTTGCAAAGCAATGGCAATAACCGAGCAGAAGATGAAACCCGGTTTCATTTTTCTCTGAGACGAGTTACAGCGTCCTATCTGTTGCATCTCGCGCCGTTTTTCATTCGCCAGATAACAAGAACCTGGTTAAGTATCGCGGGAGTCATGAGGAACATCTCCAAGTTGCCTGTTTTGTTTGGAGAATTAAACTGCAATTCAATGAGATAAAGGGGAGGACAGAACCCGAGACACCGGCGACAATTTATCCCCAGTAAACAGAAAGTCTCTTTCCCTCTCTCTCTCACTGTTCCCAACTTGTTGTCCGAGGTCGGGATTTAACAAGTTTCCGGGAAAATTACGCTTGCTGTTTTACTAGCTTAATTAGTCGTACAGCTCGTGTTAATCATTGCCACGAATCAATCTCGTTTTTATTTGTTAACTTCAATTCGTTTTCATTTCCTCTTCTGTAATC